GCAAAAGTACGGCTCCGCCCACTTTTGGGGGAAAACAAAGCTGTCATTTGAATAGCGGTCGATGTAAATTCTGAAGTTTTTTGCCAATCCGATCAGAAATTTAAGAAAAACCGTGGATGTTTTGGATATTCAAAGAGCCCGAATACAATGGCCAGACAGGCAAACAATTACATTAAATCATTGGAAATTGACAATCGGGCTCGATATATGGTTACATATAGCTACATATAGCAGTAGGCTATCGATGGACAGACTGGACTTTAGCATTAGCTTCCATGGTGATAGAACAGGACTTATCATTGGAACTGAAAACTCAGATAATCTGTACAACAGAGTAACTGAACTCTTCTTGAGGAGAGAAAGGAGGAGGGATTTGGTTTGTAGAGATAATCAAACGTATTGGTGAGTATAGGCTATAATGACTTTAATTTAAAAAGATGATATTTTCTTGTAATTTTGTTGAGTACATTATGATGCATTTCTGCCAGAGATGATGTATGTGGCTGCAGTGAAAAGACACTTGTTGAATTATGTTATTTGGGTTTCTTCCTTTAGTAATGGCATTCATTTAGCTACATTAGATACCCGTCTGTGATGCAACACCCTGTTATACTGCGTTTCTGTATAATATGAATGGTTTCTATGGCCGTGACGTCATAATGATGGTATTAAGAGTTGGATTTATATTCAGGTAGGAACACTACTGAGGCCTAGGTGTGAAATGCATGGCCCGCTACTGTAAGTTTAGGGAATCATTTAATTTCAAACTTTATTTAACCAGATGGTCCCCATTGAGATCATAGATCTCTTTTTCAAGGGAGACCTGCAATAAATGTAGTCATTGCAAGGTGCTCACAAGTATAGTATTACTGTACAATGCATGTGTTGTGCAGCAAATATGTTTGTAGTAGAAATAAGTTCCCATCCAAACCAATTCTCTCTGTTTTTAAACCAAACTAAAGCTCTCAGATGTTGTAGTTTTCCTTGCAACAACAAAAACGGATGGTTAGAAGAACCCCTCCCTTCCCCCAGAGCAGCAAGAACACTCACACACACTTCAAACCACACGTTTCACTGCTATTTTCAACCCCCATCCTATTGTTCAGACAGCCCCCCTCCAGCTATGGGACAGTGAAGGACGCGGGAGAGATCGGGCTTTAGAGCTACTGTACAGTATCATCGTAGCCCACTCTCACATTTACACACACACACACACACACACACACACACACACACACCACCACCACACACTGAACCATGGGGCTGTATTTATTAGGCCATGTGAAATGGGTGAATATGAAACACTCCGTCTCGTCTTTGTTCATTCTTACATTGTCTCTATAATATAGTACATGGCTTATTGGTTAAGTATGTAGTAATGTCCCTTCATTTACTTCCTTTCTTATTCTGTCCATTTATACGTATGTATCAGCTATTAGCTAATTTTAGAGATCAGGGAAAGATTTGTTTTGGTTTTTAAATAGTAATAACTTATCATTTGAATATTTTTTTTATTGTTTTAGAATGTCAAAAGTAGTGAGAATTGGCTTAAAATGCCTTCAGATTGCTTTCCTGTCTGATACTGTTTAAAAAGAAAAGTATCTACTTGACTCTCACATAAGAGAAAGCAGTGCACAAATGTACTGTAACGAATCAATGTTGACATAAAACCATTAAGTAGTTATTAGAAAAGTGGCTGATTAATTACCTGGCCATCAAATAATCAGCCGCAGGTCTGTATCCTGTATATCTTAAAAGCAAAGACTGATAATGGTCATAAAGAAAACAAAACTCTTAAGATGAAGCCGGAAGCCAAAAGGAAATCCATACTAAAAACACTAATTTAACTGTACAAGAAATATATTCATATATCAGTGAGTTCTACTCAATACACCATGCCCCATTGTTACTATATCCCATCTTACTGTACACAACAGTCAAAGATGTATTCTTTTCTTTCTGATTTTTGTCATTTTTTCAGGACTGCAAAAGAAAAGGCTCCATAGAAGCCCTAACAAAGAGAGGAGGAAGCCCTGCTGCTTCCAACAAGAATCAATAGAGAGCCATTGGGCTGTCTGCCATTGACAGGCTTCTGTCTCGTGCTTCTGTCTCGTGCTGCTGCCAGTGAGCGCTCCGTGCTAATGCTGCTATTTGGAACCACTGCGGCTATAGACAATCTATTGATGCTTTATTGTGTCTGCTGCATGCTCACTATTCTTTATCCCACACACAGGCCTGATGTAGAGTTCAGGCCACACAGAGAAGAGGATATGTTAATGACAGGGTCAATATGAGCACGCCCAGCACTACTGTCATTAGGAGGGGGGGTTGGAGAACAGTGGCTGCCTAAAGGTAGCTGTTAAGGAGAAGCAACATATACAGAGGATGGTGGGGGGATGATGTCTATAACGAATATGCCATTAACAGGGATTTAAATCCCCAATACATCTCAGTATAGGTACATCTTTATCGTTGTTAATGTGAGGTTTGGAGGAGTGAAACAGAATATATTGGTTTTGAGAGGAATCTGATTGATTGACTGCAAAAGTGGTAAAAAAACAAACAGATCTATTGTTAGAGCTTGAGAATGTGTGTTGTTTCTTTTTGTACTTCATTGTTTTTTTCAAGTGATTTATTTTTTAAATCAAAGAAATTAGAAAATAGAGAATTCAATAAGCAAATAATTAAGGGCTGCAAATAATGCTTATTTAGTTTAGACATTAATCCAGTGTTGTCACGATTTACCCATGATTACATATGGTATAAAAGGGCAGAAAGTAAACTGACTCATATTTTTCCACGGCAGGCAAATGCCAAAATGTTTACATGAACAAAAACGATTCGTGTCATAGCACCACAGGTGCATTTGTTCTTAATTTGGTTCAACTCTAATTGAAAGCATGTTGCATTCATCAAAACATGACTTAATATCTGTGCTAAAACTTGAACAATACTAGTATTATTGGTGGTAATACATTCCTGACTTTTAACATCTAACCCAATCTTTTAAAAAAAAAAAGAATCTCTAAAATGGATGGCTATATTCAAAGAAGTCAATTGAAAGTATGTAGAGTAACTGTGAACAGAAAGCAGCCTAGAGCTCCTTTAAGCATTGCTCACCCAGTTTGCTCAGAGCGGGATGAGTGTTGGCCAAGATTCTGTCAGATCACTGTGGGTTCCTGACGCTTGTGGTTTTAAAAAAATAGTGTAGATGCTGTCGTTTGGCACAAAGCGGCACAACATAAAACCAAAGTATGAATTTTTCATTTCATTTCAAACCTTTATTTAACCCAGATTGGTCCCATTGAGATCATAGATCTCTTTTTCAAGGGAGAACCTGCAGCATATAGGTTCCACATGAAACATAAAACAATAAAGGACATCATCATTTGATTGATGTCACCTGGGTTAAGATCTCTGTGGCGGTTGGATACTGGATACAAAACAATTGTCACAGAAAGCTTGTGTTACATGCCGCGGGGCAATAGAAGTGTAACAAAAGATATTATAAGGTGCCGTCATGGGAGTTTTAGGATTCTGCCTAACCCATACTTTGGACCAGCAGTCAGGATATCTGGGCCTCTGCTGATGCCATTTACATTTCTCTCTTTTGGGTGAATACTCAACCTTATATGGAAGTACTTTTCCAACTCACGTACTGTATGCACCCATCTAACTAAACTCTTTACCCACATTTGCTTTCTCAAGTCTTTTCGTCTTGGTTTGGAAACATTTGTTTTTGATTCCATCAAATTCTTTGTTGATTGTCTTGAGGGCAAAGAAGTTTATTTTCTATTGAAAGCTCTCCTTCTATTATATTATATTATTATTATTATATTATATTATTATTATTATTATTTGAATGGCATAATGCCATTATTTCAAAATTGGAAGTGACAGGAAACATGAGGGCATAGGTTAATGACATGGAACACAATTTAGAAATGGTACATTGGTGTTCATGGTTTTGATTTTTTAACCGCTGAATCTCCAAGATGCCCCAAAGCTCTCTTCTCTACACCTGTGCACCTTAGGCTGCCTTTACACAGGAACGTTTGCGTTTATGCACAGTATGTGTTTTCAAAAAAGTCTTCCGTTCACATGCATTTGTTTAATTTAACGTGTCTGTTCACACGAGACCGCTGGAAACGCTGTAGTACATATGCCGGGACTGTAAGTGGCGCTGTAACTTCCGCCACAAAATACACCAAAAGCAGCGAAGAAGACCCCGGAGCATGGTTGCCATGGCTACCCTTCTGTTTATGCCCCGCGGTGGATTTAGCAACAGTTCATGTAATTCTCCATGTCCACTTGTTGCTGATGGTTGTGGTAGAGGAGCTGTAGATTTTGCACTAACATCTGTAGCATGGTCGAGCTGTAGATTTTGTACTAACATCTGTAGCATGGTCAGTAGCTACTGACAGTAGCTGCTGACCATGCTACAGCAGTGAGCAGCAGAGGTGGGGAGAGGCGGGGCTATGGCTTCATCTATCGGGAAATGATCGTATAGAGGCGATTACACGGAGCCGTTTGACCCCCCAGAGCGTTTCGTTTGCAGATCTATCCACCTTGGGACCCGTTATCGTTTGCGGGGTCAGTTTCTATCGTTTTGTTACGGCCTCGTGTAAATAATAGGGCTATACGCAAGAGAAACTATGCAGATACAAGCCTTTTCGTTCTCGTGTAAAGGGGGTCTTAGTTTGCTTAAACTGATTCATAGATGTTTGTTTTTGAGAAAAAATGAAATGCTTCACCCTACCTGAAGCTCTCTTTCCTGTAATTCCATTAAGTAAATCAAAAAGAAATCTGGCCTAAAACAATCGCGAGATATTTAGCTTATTCCCATTCCTACTGAAATTCCATCCCAAGTTTAAAAGTTTGTAGAAAGTTTGTTCATTACTTTCCGATGGTGTCTCACTGTTCTCTGGGTGGTTGCCGCATGAATACTGGATCAACTCTGATGGACCACTCTAATGTTTGGTTGTTTTGTCTGTCGTCAGATCTGTCCAAGAACCGCCTGTGTGAGCTGCCGGAGGAGCTGTGTCAGTTCATCTCCGTGGAGACGCTGAGTCTTTACCACAATGGGATGCGTTCACTGTCCTCCAGCCTGGGCAACCTGCAGGCCCTCACCTACCTCAACCTCAGGTAACTCAGCACCACGGTCTGCATCTAATCCCCTCATTCTATTGTACTTTTAATGACATTCACACTAGTTTTACAGGTCTCTAAAGTTCACATTTAAAATGTACCCTTCTGAAAGGGGACTAACACACAAAACTCCCATCGGACACACTGATGGCTCCATCGCCTCCACTCTGGACAACTCCACTTAAAGAAAATCATTTGCGTTCCTTACAACTTTGGTCATGTTTTCAAAGATTCATACGTCATTTCTATTACAGTAGCGCTGCAGATAAAAACGGGTTTGGATGGGTAATCATTGGGAAAATGCACCAGACTTCACCAAGTCAAGTGTAAATAACATAGAAAGAACCTATAATAGCCTATGAAGTTATGGAATTTATTATCCAGCATTTTCCTCTAATTCATTTATTTGGAAAAGTTAAAAAGGAGTGCACCCAAAATGATTGTAAAGATCTTGTATTGCACTGTTTGCACTTAGCTGTGGAAAAGGTCAAAGTTTAACCAGTAAGTTGGTCTTTTAAATTCATGATAATACCAAATTGTAGATCGTTGTAATTATCCTTTAAAAAGTTTCTCTTCAAGCTACTACAGTCAACACTTTGCATCCATTTCTCAGTTAGCAGATTGCAGAGGCCTTTTAAAGTGCAGCTGTTTGAACTTCAGTGTTTGTTTATGCTGGAGATGAAGGGAGGCCGTACACATCCTGTAAAACCTTCTTACAACTACACACCTACACTCCTCTCTCCTCCATACTATAATGTTACTGTTGCTAGGAGACGGTGGCTATTAATACAGGCAGCAAGAGTGCAAATATACTGAATACATTTTTTGAAAAGATGATATGTAGCTGCACATTGTTCATTGGCCAGCTACTGTATATTCTCACTGTAACGCATTGTCTTTACTTGTCTGAATTGTTATTAAGCTAACTCAAACAAGAATGTATCAGTGATCACATCTTTGAAACCCAATGCCTTTTAAATAATGTGTGTGTGTGTGTGTGTGTGTGTGTGTGTGTGTGTGTGTGTGTGTGTGTGTGTGTGTGTGTGTGTGTGTGTGTGTGTGTGTGTGTGTGTGTGTGTGTGTGTGTGTGTGTGTGTGTGTGTGTGTGTGTGTGTGTGTGTGTGTGTGTGTGTGTGTGTGTGTGTGTGTGTGTGTGTGTGTGTGTGTGTGTGTGTGTGTGTGTGTGTGTGTGTGTGTGTGTGTGTGTGTGTGTGTGTGTGTGTGTGTGTGTGTGTGTGTGTGTGTGTGTGTGTGTGTGTGTGTGTGTGTGTGTGTGTGTGTGTGTGTGTGTGTGTGTGTGTGTGTGTGTGTGTGTGTGTGTGTGTGTGTGTGTGTGTGTGTGTGTGTGTGTGTGTGTGTGTGCAGTCGTAATCTTCTGTCCAGTTTACCCCCATCGGTGTTTCAGCTTCCCCTCCTGCGAGTGCTCATAGTGAGCAACAACAAGCTGTGTTCACTACCTGCCTCCATATACTCCCTCACACACCTCCGGCAGCTGGTATGATTCACACTCACGCACACACAAGCCGATTTCTAGGATTCCTCCAATTCAAATAGCTTTGTTAGCATGACCATAATGACATACAGTATTGCCAAAGCTTCGTACTATTACGTCATCTATACATAAATATACATTTGTACTGTTACGTTTTCGTCACAGGGAAAACCATTTACTTTTTAAACATGAACTACAAAATGAACTTACAAAAAGATTGGGTGAGCTATTGATTATAGTGCAGGATAATGCTAATGGAAAATTCATATAAACATTAAAAAGAAATAATACTAATAGAAATAAGAGTTGTGAGGGCTGGGGCTCAGTCATCCTGACTCTCATGCAGGCAGACACACTTCTTTCATTTCACCTAGTCAGATTTTTTTAAATCTTTTTTTTCAAAAATAATTGAGGATGCGTATTATTGAATTTTGGTTAGAATCCTTTCCATGCAGGTTTGAATTCAGGGCATTGTATGAGGAAGTGCTGCTCTGTTTCCAAAGCAGTTCCTCCACACTGTTGGCATAATCGCTCCTCTTTCGGCAGCCATGTTTTCTTTTTGCCTGTTTCTATGGCCACGCAGCACTTTCTCAACTGTCCACAGTACACAGTATTTGTGGGTCATACACTTTTAAAAAGACACGTATTATGTTGCACTGTTGGAGGAGCTTGTGGCCGTTTCTCAATGTCGAGTAAACCTGCTGCAGAGCCACTATTTCAAGTATACTACGTCATCGAGTGGCGCCGAAGGACTGTTTAAATACATGTTAAATGCCCAGCATTCGGCGCCACTCTATGACGTAGTATACTTGAAATAGTGGCTCTGCAGCAGGTATACTCGACATTGAGAAACGGCCTGTGACTTCAGTTTTTCATTGCTATATTCACACTGTAGCTAATGTCCAAATGACAATAAAGCCTTGAATTGAATTGAATATTGTCTGTGTGTGCTTGTCTCTCAGGATGTGAGCTGCAATGAGCTGCAGGGTTTGCCAGCAGAGCTCGGACAGCTGGAGTCTCTGAGGGATCTGAACCTGAGGAGGAACCAGCTCACCACTTTGCCTGAAGGTAGAGACTCATTGGAACATCCTTTGACCTCCTTTACATTTCTCTTTCCCACAATAAACCCAGTTTGATCATCTCAGCTCATATTGCACCAGTACAGCTTTTCTAAATGCCCGCTCAACTGACCCCAGAAACCTCAGCAATGTCTTTGTCCAGTCCCCATGGAGTGATTTGAAAAGACTCATCGATATATCATCTATAAATGTAGAATATTATAACGATCTTTTATCCACTGAGCTCCCCTAAGCCTGCAAAGTATCTCCAACACCCTGATCAAACCATAGCTCTCTAAACATAATGGATGCTAATGTAAAGGATCATTGCATCATTGTTTTGAGCTATGGATTATTTTCATGTAGAAGTATTGGACCAGCTTCCGACTTACTGACTAATGGCCCTTACACAATTAGTGCCTCATTCTCTGGCTCATTAGGAGGAAATGTAAATGAATACACTTTTGAAAGTACACAGACTTTCAAGTGGGCTGGCACCTCCTTTTTCTAAATTCAAAACTGGGCCACGACTGTTAAAAGTAGCCTGTCCATCTCTGCACTGGTATTATAGTTGTAAACTTAACACTTAAACATGTATAAGGTGGGGGGGAAAAAACAAACATAAAGGTAGTCGGAATAGCCATTATTTTGACAGCTCACATGGTAAGGTCATGAAGATGAACATTTGAACAGATGTTATTCAATCAGCAAACATGACATGAGTCATGTGATACTCACTTTCTGACATCAAACATCCATTCATTATTTCTCATTGCCCCCGCTTTGCTGTTCAGCTACCGTCGATAAAACTCAACACTTCCTGTAGGTTTTTCCACCTCAAACACCCTTCCAGGAAATGACGCTTTTAATTTGAAACATCTGTGAAGAAGTTGCTGAATATTCGCAGCTGACAGAGGTTAAAGAGGCAGTCAAAAAACTATAGGAAGTTGCAATTACAAATAAATAAAGTGCTAAAATGTCTAAGTTTCATTTTATTGGCGATTTGTGCAAATGTAAAAGTAAGAATTAAGATGAAATTACGCTGGCCTTTGACATGTGGCTGATAAAAAATGTCTTTATATAACATCCATATATATAATATATATATATATATATATATATATATATATATATATATATATATATATATATGAGATTTGTTAATAAATTGATGTTTTGTTAAGGATCACCAATTTGAAGCCCCAATGAGACTGACTGATTCCGTCTTTCTGTACCATCCAGAAATATCCGAGCTCCCTCTGGTCCGGCTCGATGTGTCCTGCAACCGCATTTCCCATGTGCCCCTGTGCTACCGCCACCTGCGGCACCTGCAGACCGTCCTGCTGGACAACAACCCGCTGCAGATGCCCCCGGCGCAGATCTGCTCCAAGGGAAAATACCACATCTTCAAGTATCTCAACATGGAGGCCTGCAAGAGAAACCAGGAGGAGCTGGAGAGACACCTGAGGCCCACCGGGTTCAACAGCTGGTGAGGATGACGAGGAGAGGGGGAGGAGCTAAAGGTGGAAGGCAGAGGAAAGGCAATTAAAAAAGGAGCTGGTTAGGGAGGAGCAGGGAGGATGAAGCTGGAGATGTGGTACTAACATGATGGAAAAACTGCTTGTCAAGAAATAGTCCTGGCACTGAACTCGGACTACAGCTGCAAACAACATATAGAGATACAACAGAACAGAGGGGCCCTTTTAGCTTTTCAGGTTAACCGTTTGCTGTACTCTTTCTCCCCCGTGAAACCTCCATTGGACTCCTTTGTTTTCTTTCGGACCATAGTGACATCACTATGGAACACTCGCACTTCTATTGGCTAGCGCTCCAACACATTGTACGTTAAAGGCTAAGGGGTGGGACATCTCTAAGCTGTTGACCAATCACAACAGAGCCGGCCAGCTAACCAATCAGAGCAGACTGGGCTCTGGTTTCAGACAGAGGGTGAAAAGAGGTGCTGCAAGCATACTGCCTGTATGAGAAAAATAAAGAGCTTTTTGAACATTAAAGCATGGAGACATGTCCCAGTAGAGACACTTACATAATGATATTACACCTGAACATCAGCAGGAGAGGACTCTTTAAAGTAGAGACATACATACTGATATACACCTGAACATCAGCAGGAGAGGACTCTTTAAAGTAGAGACACTACATACTGATATACACCTGAACATCAGCAGGAGAGGACTCTTAAAGTAGAGACACTACATACTGATACACACCTGAACATCAGCAGGAGAGGACTCTTTAAAGTAGAGGACACTACATACTGATATACACCTGAACATCAGCAGGAGAGGACTCTTTAAAGTAGAGACACTACATACTGATATACACCTGAACATCAGCAGGAGAGGACTCTTTAAAGTAGAGACACTACATACTGATATACACCTGAACATCAGCAGGAGAGGACTCTTTAAAGTAGAGACACTACATACTGATATACACCTGAACATCAGCAGGAGAGGACTCTTTAAAGTAGAGACACTACATACTGATATACACCTGAACATCAGCAGGAGAGGACTCTTTAAAGTAGAGACACTACATACTGATATACACCTGAACATCAGCAGGAGAGGACTCTTTAAAGTAGAGACACTACATACTGATATACACCTGAACATCAGCAGGAGAGGACTCTTTAAAGTAGAGACACTACATACTGATATACACCTGGAAATGAGCAGGAGAGGACTCTTTAAAGTAGAGACACTACATACTGATATACACCTGGAAATGAGCAGGAGAGGACTCTTTAAAGTAGAGACACTACATACTGATATACACTGGAAAATGAGCAGGGAGAGGACTCTTTAAAGTAGAGGACAATACATATGATATACACCTGGAAATGAGCAGGAGGAGGACTCTTTAAAGTAGAGACACTACATACTGATATACACCTGGAATGAGCAGGAGAGGATCTTTAAGTAGAGACACTACATACTGATATACCACCTGAACATCAGCAGGAGAGGACTCTTTAAGTAGAGACACTACATACTGCTATTACACTGGAAATGAGCAGGAGAGGACTCTTTAAAGTAGAGACACTACATACTGATATACACCTGGGAAATGAGCAGGAGGAGGACTCTTTAAAGTAGAGGACACTTACATACTGATATACACCTGGAAATGAGCAGGAGAGGACTCTTTAAAGTAGAGACACTACATACTGATATACACCTGGAAATGAGCAGGAGAGGACTCTTTAAAGTAGAGACACTACATACTGATATACACCTGGAAATGAGCATTGTAGGGCCCTTTGTGATAAAATGCTTAATAGGAATTGGTAGGTAGAGTATTGCTTACAGTCTTTATGCTAAGCTTGGCTAACCTCGTCCTGCTTTATTAACATACATTTATGTCAATTGTCTCATATCACCCTTGGTAAAACTAAAATAAGCCTGAAGAAGTATTTCTTTAGCAAAGTATAGAAAAGCACTTTAGATATTATATTACAGTAGGTTTTGGTTTTTAGAGAGACAGTGGGATAAAAAGGGAGGTTGTGCTTTTCTTCACACTATTCTGCTTTTACCAAGTTGTGATTTTCTCAGTAATGCATAGTTGCAAGGTGTAACGTGTTTTACAGGCCAAAAACAGAGGCACTTCAACACAATCCAGAATGTGGGAAAGTGTGACAGGAGTTGCAATCTATTGCCATGCTGTCCCTATTTAAGTGACAGTTAGACATAAGTACCTTTTACCGTCATTTTAGCACGGCACTCCTTTCAAAATAGGAACACCGTGGACATGAGGTGAGAGGATGAATTGCTGGAGTTACAGTAAATGAAGAATAAGGAAATGGATGATAGATGATGAGAGAGAGAAGGGTATGTTAACTAAGAGGAAGCACGGTTTATCAAATATTTATTAACTTTGAATGGAAACCCTTTTAGCTGCCTAGGAGCCATTCTCCATGAAATAGACTGGACAAGGACAGAGATAAGAGAGAATATCTGAGCATCAGTCACTGCCATTTAGGTGTGTGTGTGTGTTGTGTGTGTGTGTGTGTGTGTGTGTGTGTGTGTGTGTGGGTGTGTGATGGGTTGTGTGTGTGTGTGTGTTTGTGTGTGTGTGTGTGTGTGTTGTGTGTGTGGGTGTGTGGTGTGCTTTGTGGTGTGTGTGTTGTGTGTGTGTGGTGTGTGTGTGTGTGTGTGTGGTGTGTGTGGTGTGTGTGTGGATGTGTTTTGATGTGTTGATGTGTGTGTGTGTGTGTGTGTGTGTGTGTGTGTGTGTTGGCTGTGTGTGTGTGTGTGTGTGTGTGTGTGGTGTGTGTGTGTGGTGTGTGTGTGTGTGTGGTGTGTGTGGTGTGTGTGTGTGTGTGTGTGTGTGTGTCCCTTATGGGGAATCATTAATTCTAGGGTGAAGACTTGGTTAGGCATGTGTTGGTTAGGATAAGTCTCCAGGAAATGCATGCAAGTCAATGTAATGTAAACATGGTGTGTGTGTTTCCCTGCAGTCTATCAGAACAGGAGCTTTTCACAGGTCAGTTCGGAGGGCTGGATTCTGGCTTCACAGTGTGGACAGCGGCAGCAAACGCTGGTCTGGGAATGAGGTAAAACTACGTTCACTATACAATGCCCTCGCATGTCCTGAGGGACTGCATCATGTTGATCAGACAGAAGTGTGTTGATGTTCATGGTAAGAAATGTGCCATGGACTAAATATTCAGAGGACTTGGAGACATCACCCATTGGCTGGTGGGCCGTTTTGAAGCCTCTGGTTTTGCTATTTGGCTGCTGGCAATCTGTATTTTCTTTGGAACCACAAGCCTAACAAGAACTGATTAGGTGACCTAAATGTGACGTGAGTGGTGCAGTGATGAGTCCTAAAACCAGGAAGTGAGTTAGTATTTTACCACTTCCGGTTCCCTCGTCTCAGAGTCAACGGCTTTTTTTAACTAGTTTTTGGAAAATAGCTGGAAATAAGGTCTGTGGTTGAGACACATTTAAGAGACGGATCACGTTTTGTTCTACGACATTAAATCCATCAGCAGTGACCCCACTGGTGATTTTTGAAGAGTTTACGTGTCTGAAAACGATGGTTGTTAAGTGGCCTGAATAGGACTACAGAAGCTGTCGAGGCCGTTGTACGTCATTACGCCAAACACGTTTTGAATTTGTTTGCCCTGTTCTGCTTGAAAGCAAGTACCTGCTAACTGTTCAAACAAACGCTTCAAACTTGTACCATTTTGAATCTGTATTTTTGAATATCGATCTTAAGTTGGCGTGACGTTGAAGTCGTGCGACCCTGCTGTACTCGGCTGTAGTTTGTTTATAGCATAACGTTAGCATTTTAGCAGTTTTCCACAGACCTTATTTTTTACAATATTCCAAAATCCTATGGAGAAATCCAATTGCGTTTTTTGTTGAGGGAACCCATGCGCAGCAAAGATACGTCATCACTGCACCACTCTGTCGACTTTAAGATCTGATGACCCTTATAAACATTTAAAGGTAGATGGACATATTTGACAGAGACAAAATTCCATGAAATAATAAAAGAACCAAATATACTTTGACGGTGTGTCAAAATGTCATCCAGAATATTTCATTTAAAAAAATCACGATAGCCTAAATGGCGTCACACTGCTATTAGTGGTCGTATACACATACATATATAAACTATATATACACATGAAGATATCGTAAATATACACATTTACCTGCCTATCCAATAGTCTTAGCCCTGGACAACAGATCAATGTCTCTGAACTGTGAATGTGTCCAGTCAGCAGATGACTTCTCGGAGCGTTCCCTCCGGTTAGCTGAGGTCAGCAGAGAGCAGAGGAACCTGGAGGAGGAAGAGGAGGAGGAAGAGGAGCATAGATCTCCTCTGGAAGCTACCAAAGGTGAGGAAAGAAGGCCATGTTTGAGCTATCGAACAGTGTTGTATACAAGATGTAGGTTAACACTCCTTTATGCTCTCTGCAGTGAATGGAGATGCTGGGCATGTGGACTTCATTGACAGCAGTGTGACAGAGGAGGAGGAGATGAGGATGCACCCCCCCACACCCCCCCTCACAGCTCCTCCTCTGGTAGCACACATTCACACACTGATCAGCAGTTGTGCCAGATTGTCTCGTGGCCTTCCTGTGATCTGAGAGCAGTGTTATTGATTGTGACTTTGATTTACAGGAGCAGAGTGAGAGCTCTTCCCCGTCCCAAAGCCACGACTCAACAACATGCAGGTAAGATACATGAGTCAGCGCCTTTTACCAGTGCTGCCACTGCTCTGTGTGGACGCTCTGATGACTTTAGTTGAAGATCTCAGGTTTTTTTAATTTATTTAATTTGATTGAAGGACAGGTACAATCTGAAGGTCACAATTGAGACAATGATCCTCCTTCCATATTCATTTATTTCTTATACCTAACCATCACCAAGCCCCACCCATACCTTGCAAACACATAGAGAGTTTAATCAAAGAAGCACATAAATAAATACAATAAACAAATTATAAAAAAAGCAGAGACTGATAAGTAAATAAAAAGACAACTAAGCTGGTGAATAAAACAAAAGCAAAGAAAGTATTAAAAGGTGTTGAAAATAAATAACATTATGTACATTTCTGCTATTCGGTTGGGAGTGTCTGCACTGCCAGAAGATCTCAGGTTTTTCAGAAAGGCACTGTCTCTTTCTCAGGTCACCCTTCATTTGGTGCTCATGCTGTGCAAAACAAATAAAAATAATCCCAACTAGATCAGAAAAACACCGGCACGACCCTAGAGAGGTGATTATGTTGTCCAAATATCAAAACAGAACAATACTCACGTGCAGCAGATGAAACTCTTCCCAGTGCCCAGCCAGCGTTCTCCTGCCACTACAGACTCAAGCTGTTGGTCTATAGAGGGGTTTTCTGCCATGGACACACACCTCAGGTCTGTTACACACCTCAGGTCTGTTACACTGCAGTTCATTCAGTGTTGCTAAATATAACAGCAATAGCTGTTTAAGCACAACCAAAGGATTTACATTTTAATCCCAAAATTAAAAATATTTATATAAGGGGCAAAACAGGGTTTTGGTTTTGCAAACCAATGGTATAGGTTTGATGCGGTTTGCGTTAAATAACTGTATGAGGTAATAATAATAGTATGAGGTGCAACCTGTGCCAAGGTGTTCTAGTATGAGGTGCAACCTGTGCCAAGGTGTTCTAGTATGAGGTGCAACCTGTGCCAAGGTGTTCTAATATGAGGGGCAACCTGTGCCAAGGTGTTCTAGTATGAGCTGCAACCTGTGCCAAGGTGTTCTAGTATGAGGTGCAACCTGTGCCAAGGTGTTCTAATATGAGGGGCAACCTGTGCCACGGTGTTCTAGTATGAGGGGCAACCTGTGCCAAGGTGTTCTAGTATGAGGGGCAACCTGTGCCAAGGTGTTCTAGTATGAGGGGCAACCTGTGCCAAGGTGTTCTAGTATGAGGGGCAACCTGTGCCAAGGTGTTCTAGTATGAGGTGCAACCTGTGCCAAGGTGTTCTAGTATGAGGGGCAACCTGTGCCAAGGTGTTCTAGTATGAGGGGCAACCTGTGCCAAGGTGTTCTAGTATGAGGTGCAACCTGTGCCAAGGTGTTCCAGTTGATCAGAAACACATTTCCCTAGTATCTTTAATTGTATCTTTAGCCTGTTTCTGTGACTTCATCTACATTCAGCTCTGTGTTGGTTTCTCTGTTGGAAACTGTGTACTCAGCCCCTCCAAGTGACAGACAGCGTTTTATCACTTGTCCTCTCTTTTCCTTCCTTGTTTTACAAGGTCACTTCACAGAGTATTTGAAGAGCTGGGAAAAGTCAACAGTCCTCTGTTCCCATTAGTTACAATCCCCTTTCAAACTCTGCATGCTGCTTGTTATCTTGGGAAGTTAACATGGAGACTCGCTGACTTTCCCAGACTTTTATTACAGTGTGGCAACATAACAGCTTGTCTTAATGTCCACATGTATTCTGAAAGCTTTCCGAGCAAAGCTTTCAGAGGAAAGCTCGTAGATACCACTAAATGTGTTGGCATCGAATCAGAGCAAAGGAATAAAGTGGAGCAAAATGGCTGATTATTAGGTTAAACATACAAATGATTGCAGCATTTTATTTGTTATAAACATACACCTCATGTTCTTATGTTGCTGTTGAGGCAGCTTCAGCACGCTGCTCTGTTCTCTTTTGTTGAGATTGAGTGTCCGGGCAGTCCTATTGGCTACATATCAATATGTGAGACAGAGCCATTGTTCTCAGCTTCTGGAGCAACACGCAGCATATTTTATTACCTTTTTAAAATAAACTGTACCCTGTCAAATGAATTCCAAACTGAAAGCCTCATTAAGGCTCATACAGTATACAGGACAGGACTTAGACGTGCTTACGTGACTGACTGTCTGAGGAAGATGAAGTTCAGCTGTCTCTATCCTGCATGTCCTCTTTAAACACTTTACAATCGCCTCAAACAAACGGATGTTCCGAATTTTGACTTCCAACACTTCCTTAGGGACTCCTAAAAATAGAGCACTGAGTCTTAAAATGGAAGCTGAACACACACATTCTAACCCCTCTTTTATATTGAAATGATTATAAAATGATTTCATGTAAACCCACCTACAGAATAAAGGAGGAAATCCCTAGACAAGCTTATTTGGTTTGGTTTCCTGATTTATCTTCTAGTTCTAACACTGCTTGTGAATGGATCCAGCTCAGGCACAATCTTCACATATAGGTACATAGTATATTTTGAGTCACCTAAATACATTTGTATCAAATTGTTTAATATTTACTACAGCTTGCCTTGGACTCCTGACTGGGGGTGTTACCCCTATAACATGTTACAGCCATTTGTTATCAATGTTAAGTGGTTAATGTAACATATATAACATATCATAATACCAGTTATTGTATCACACACAAAGTTCAGATTCAAAAGAAATGTGTCCACCAAACAAAAAAACAAAAACCACATTTGGCATTCTTTAATAGTAGTTGGTTTTGAGGCTGTGATTGGGCGATGAGCTGTCAGTCAAATCTGGCAACAGTACCTCTAAATGTATTTCTCGCTCTCCTCATGTATTCCTCATTCTATCCTCTCCTTCCTGCAGCTGGACTTGGCAGTAATGACTGGGAGAAATATTGACTTGGTTTTCTCCAACTCTTTCTCCCCCAGGTCCAGCCTCCATGTGGACGTGGGACCCCCATCCTCGACCTCCCCCCTGTCCCCCTCCAGCCCCTCCCTGGAGGAGCGCAGGAGGCCGGGCACCCTGTTCATCTGGCAGGAGAGAGAGCGCCTGCAGCAGCAGCAGAGGGACAAGGCCAGGTGGATTCATCTTTAATATCTACATCTCTGTGATGTTTGAAAAGCAGAATGTTAATCAGCATTTACCTGAAGGGTGTGAGCCCTTCTTCCCAGCAGAGGGAGCTTTGAATGCCTTCTTACATAGGGTAGAAGTGTCTGACTGCATTGACCGGATATATCACATGACACAACATAAATGCTACTTTATCTCCTGCTAACACTGGAAACACTGTGAACATGAGCGTTTATCTGTGGTCATGTGATCTCCACACTAATGAACGTCTCTCTGCCAGAGGCAACTCCCTTCTGTCTGTCATCTCTAATTACACGCTCTCCATGTCCAACCTCTACATTTTCAGTTTGCTGAAGTCATCCACCAAAACAGGAAGTCATGTGGCCCCTGCACCACAGACAGGAAGTAGCTCAGCGTAAGTAAGCCCTGAAGAATTCATGAACTAAGTAAAGATGAGGCTGATTTGAGTGACTCTTCAAGTTCTAGTCCATCCATCCTTCTGAGTCTATGCAGGAGTACAGATGGAGGAAGGTTTGAGGGTGTGGGAAGTGTTTCCTGTAGTGATGAAACGTTGATGTGTGTCTCCCCCTAGTGGTGGATCTCCAGAGAACAGCAGCTCTCTGTCAGGGCTCCGGCAGCGCTGTGCAGTGAGTACTGATCTCTCTTCATCATACACAGAGCAGGAGCTGCACAGATCACTGATGAAAACTCACCGTGTTCCTTTTCCACAGAGTGCTGATCAGATGAGCGCAGCGCCTCCTCCAACACTTCTGCAGCGCTCCAGCAGCAGATCAGGTACACACAACCTTTTATAATGTATTAGTATTTATGACATACAGCAGGTAATAACACCTTTTTCAATACATTGTTCACAAGCTAAATGATTAGACGTAGCTCCTATATTATTAACGACATATTGTTTTGGTTAACGACACTTTAAAGTTAGATCCTGTCACTAAGAGATCTACAGATATATAGCATTTATAAAAGGACAGAGGCTGGTGCTGTTACAAACTTTGCTTTGTAAAAACTTAAATATTCAATATTAATAATTCCCATGAACTTACCAGTCAACTTACTGGTGAGACTAGCATAAAACTGACTGCACACTTAGATACTATTGAGATTAAACAGTCATTGGATATAGAAAAAAAGTCTCATAACAAAACTGTATGAGCTATTGATCAGTGAACTTAAGGTCTTTTTCATTTGTATTATTCTGATACTTTATATTACAATCCATAGTTAGCAGAAAACCTCAACCCACAGTCACCTTCAGAGGCTTTTTCCTGTTGTGTCCTCCTCACCTACTCTGATGGAATTGTGGCAGAATATCCTTAAACACTTTTGTGTTGTCATGCCAACATAAACATGTGCTCTGGAGGGTGCCTTTCATAGTGTGACATTGAGTTTGTTTGTTTCAGATGTTCCGTCCTCCCCGAAGACGTCCTCCCCCCCAGGTCAGACCCAGAGACCCAACAGCTTCCTGTTCCGCGCCTCCTCCCGCACCAACGTCAAACCCACAGGTACACACCAACACAACACACACGCTTTACACCTTCCTTCAACGCTGTGGAGACATTCCAACACTGTGGCTTGTCTCTCTGTGTGTCAGTGTTCACTCTGGGGGAGTCTGGCAGGAGCGAGTCTCGAACCATGCTGCGTTCTCCTAAAGAGGAGAGGGCCGACATCACACAACTACGCCAGGTAAACACAGCATAAACACTTATTTGAATACATTTGATATATTTGTATATATTTATTGTAAAATGTGTGGATGCTAAACCAGTGATCTGAGGGCAGATCTTAAACTCCAGTATGTATAATAGTTTGACACGCATATGCCAAACATGGTGTAGAATCCTGGGTTTAAATGCTGTGCCAGAGTCTTTTCATTAAAGTTCTGACTTCACCCCCCCTCCCCACCCAGACTCTGGAGTCCCGTCTGAAGATCTCCCTGTCGGAGGATCTGGGCGAGGCCTTGACTAACGGCACGGTGCTCTGCCAGCTGGTGAACCAGATCAGAGTGCGCTCCGTGTCCATCATCCACGTCCCCTCCCCAGCAGTGGTGAGTGGTGTCTGGGCTGTCTGCCTCCACAGCAGCTCCTATCACCTGTTCATTCAATAACTGTGATAAAACACAACTTCTTAGTGTAGTACTCTTTTGCTGCTAGCTCATGGTGGCTAATGTTAGCTGACTTTAGGCAGACATCTTTGTGTTAGCTGACATGGTAGTGTCAGTTTGCATTTCTTCTTTAATGTTATACTATGTTGAAGCAGGTTAATTACATGTATTTGCAGTAACTGAAAGTCAAGAGAATCATGGGACAATGGGCCTTTTATCCTGCAGTGGTCAACGTTCAAAAAAGGATTTTCATGCTCTCAAAACTGTTTAATATTTTGTGTGCATAAAGTAATATTATCTGCCCATTTGAACATACTGTTGATTCTTGAATAACAAGCAGGATTCAAACAGTGGTCTTAAACTGAGCAGCATGGCAGAAAGGGAGAGAAAGGACGGTTAGCATGGTCTGTGCTGTTATAACCCTACTGACCTGAGTTCAGTTTGTCCCTTTCCAAGGCATGAAGTCCGTCAGCACCTGTTATAGGAAGTGACAGCTTTCACAGTGATAGCTCAGCAGAAATAATGTGCTATCATTTATAAAGATAATCTCTATATACAGAGGAAACAGTGAGTGCTCTGAATACATGATTATTTTTCTCCCCATATAATAATACATTATTTTATACAATTTATTTTCAGCCAAAACTGAGCTCAGCAAAATGTCGACTGAACGTGGAGAACTTCCTCTCTGCGTGTAGGAAGCTGGGAGTCTCTGAGGTAACCGTCTGTTTCTCACTGTCCTTTCGTTACATCTCTGCACTGTTTTACATACGTTTAAATGACAAAATGTTTGAAACCGAATTGTTCATGTGCTTTAAGCTCAGTTTTGTTGCTAAATTATTCCTGGCAGGGTTGGACTGATGTGTTGGAAAGTTTTTTGTTCGAAATCAAATGTGTATTGACGGCCCACGCACCAGTCCAACCCTAACTGTTGTTCTGTGTGATCTTTTCTCTGTTGTGTCCTTCTCTTGTCTCCTAGTTTTAACAAAATAACTTCCTGTATTTCCTCCTGTGTGTCCTCGTCCCCTGTGCAGAGGGACGTGTGTGTGTGCTCTGATGTGCTTCTGTGTAAGCTGCCCGCTGTGCTGCGCTGTGTGAGGGCCCTGCTGGCTGCTGAGGGGGGGGAGACGGGGGAGGACCAGTCCCCCCGCCACTCCTCGCCTTCGTCGCCATCACCCTCCTCCTCCTCACTGCTGTCCACAGACTTCCTGCTGTTCTACTGCGCCGTCATGGCCCTCCTCTACGTCCTGTACTGCTACCTGCTCCCCTAGAGGAGCAGCACACACACCTCATATTCACTGCTGCTCTGCACACACACACACACACACACACACACACACAGTCACAGCGAGAGTGAGGCTCACACAGCTGCTGCCACACTGGGCCTCTCAGACAATACTCCGCAGTGTGTTTCAGTATGCACACATGTCCTGAGAGTGTGTGTCCACACCCCACAGCTGCACTGACACAGAGCAGGCAGCGAGCACCTTCAGAACCAGCAGAATCGCTTCAGCTCTTCATCAGAAAGCACTAGAGTGATACACACACTACATGAGCAGGGAGATGCCTTAGCCTCGGTTAGCCTTCACTCTGAGACACACAGCATGTTTACAGGAGTGAGAGGTGGAGCTGCTCCACACACAGACTCTGGGCAGAGCAGAGGAACCACAGACGTTCTATGACCTGTGTCTTTTTACCAATCTGGCTTTAGGTGCATTGAAACTGCAGCCATTAGGAATATTTTAAAGCCAAATCATTTGTGGCTCACACCTCAATATCCTCCCTGGAATTTCTTTTAATTTTGCACATTGTACAAATAGGTTAACATGGTGACACTTGAGGAGTTACCTCATAGTTGAAACTGTAAGAATCTGCTGCTCTCTCAACATGCAGCTGTGCTTTGTATATGCAGTGTTGGTTTCTGAGCACAACTATATACAGGGGCGCAATTTTCTTGGCCACTTGGTGGCAGTGCATCCATCTGTAAACAAAAATGGGACATTTTCACCTTATGAAGTGATAGAAGCCACTTCAACTCTCCTTTTAGCTCTGGTTTGGTCTCCAGCCACTCAGAGCTGTGGTCACCAGCTAGCTACTTGAGTATCTAACCCGCCAACATGCACACCAACATTGTGTTACAGTTGGGTGGATCTTAAGAAGAAACGTGGCCATTAGTTTTACCGAAATGGATGGCATTGTACTCTCCAAGTAGAAAGAGGAGATCAGGTAACATCACTCTGAGGGGGTCCTAACGGGGGGGGTCAGGCGATCACAGTATAACACCAAACAGATTAGACGGGTGTATACAGTAGGAAGATGTTTCTCAGCTCTGACCAGGTTTCCCTTTGAGATGATCTGTGTGTTCAGAGCAGCTCCACCTCTCAGACATGTTGGTCCCCGGCTGTGTGTCCGTAGTCAGACCCCTCCCTGAGAGAAGCTGAAGGAACCTTAAACTGAAATGTGAATGTGACATTTAGCCTTGAACCGAATGCATGTTGGCTCAATGTGAGGCTGTTCCCGTGAGACAGATGCTGAGTGCCTCTCTCTGAACACTCACACCTTCTGCCCCTTTTTAATGTCTGCTGTGCTAAGCGTGAGCAGCAGGGGTTGATGTCGGCCTTCACGTGTCCAAACGGTACAAACCCCTGCAGGGGGGTGTGTGAGTGTACATTTTGTTATTGTTGTCATCGGTCAGTTTGACCAGGTGACTTGTATAAATGTAAACAGGCTATTAAGTTATTTCTTTTTATTTATTTAGAATTCTGTTCTTGGTTATTTTGTTTCAGGTGAAACGGCAGAGGCGTCACTAATTTAATTCAGTCAATAGTTAAAAGGCTTTTGTAAAATCAATGTATGTGCTTTCAATCACACGCATGCCAATTTAATGTGATCAATATTGAATTATTCAGCATTAAAACAACATTGATTGTTTAAAAGTTTCCCCCTTCATTTGATTGGTAAATGATTGATTCCCTGGAGGACATTTACCCGAGCATCAAAGGCCTCTGCTGGTTCTACCTGGCTGCTCATAGAAGGTCAGAGTCTGCATCCAAACAGCTTGGAATATCATTGTGACGCTTATTGGACTGAAAGCTTCTATCCATAGTGAGATACTAGGACTCACATGAGAGCGCTAAAACATCTGCAAATGGATTTGTAATCTTATCTCAAACATATGGAAACAAAACACGTGTCAAAGTGGGGACCAACATAACATTCAGCAACCGACCTGTTGGGCCCACTGCGTAGTCGAGGCTCCATATGTAGGAGAAACCGTCCTGCTCAAAGTGTTCAATATTAAATCAATTGTATAAAATATGCAAATTAACCAATCTTAAAAAACATAAATTATTAATACGGAAGCTGTTTTTTCCTAATAAAGTTTAATTTAATTTACTGTCATCATAGAAGCTTTAACGCAAAATGTCCTTTTTCAAAACTATATTTCACAGCATTTGTGCACTTGTATTTCTTATATAATGTCACTTGTTAACAGTACGGTGGTCTCCATCCAGCGCCTGCCTCTAAATGTTTCTGTTTCCAGCCTCTTGTTGCTTTATTCGGAATGACTTTAGCACTTTTGCTTCTCAAGCTAACGGGCTGGGAGTTGTTGAGCCAGTTTGCTCAAAGGCAGGGGCAGTACCACTGGAAAAATTGCCATTAAAGTTTTGAAATAAATGTCTACAACTATAAACTTGTAAGAATTATGAAATAACATCTCACAAGTTTAGATTTCTAAAAAAGAATTCACACAATACATTTACAAATATCTATTTCATAAAGTATTTATATGTATTTAATATTAAACACTTTGGGGGCCCAAATAGAAAAAGCTATTCTGTCGATATTGCAATTGTATTTGATAATTGTCCTTATGCACACTGGTTCTTTTAGTCCACATCTTTTCAGGAGTCACGCTCCGTCTCGTGTCTCAAGTTCTTTACTAGCCTGCTGTTAAAAGGAAATGTTATACTGTTTCAATTCTAATGTAGATTTTATAAATGAAACTGGATGAGCATCAGACGGTAATCTTTCACTGGCTTAGACCAAGCTATGTTCTTTGATATGTTAGCGGAACAGAATTGCAGTTGTATTTTATATTTATACGATACCCTTGTATTATTGAGATTCTTTTTTGAGTTTATATAAAGCTATATGTAAAGGTTTTTTTCCCTTCGCTGTAAAGAAATTATTAAAAAGTGAACTTTGACCGTGTGCTGTTTGTCTGCTTGCCTGCTGTGCTTTGCTTACTCAGCAGAACTCTTTAATGTGATCTTCATCAGGGTGTCTGCAGCTGCCTCAGAGACACATGTCCACTCACTGCTCATCAGGTCCCGAAGTATAAACATATTTAATGTCAAAACAAGTAGGATTTTCATTTCAAGCTAATGTTTGTCAAAAGATAAGTCTGGTGATATTCCATGAGTCTACCAACATGTATGTGCCCTGATGCTCCAGTCCTGAACGTCTGCTGGAAAGCTAGAGCACCAGTTTTAGATTAGGATGCAGGGTTTAAATCAGACCGCTGAATGTACCAACATTGCTCTTAACTTAAATTGTCCCATATCGCAAAACATCCGAAGAGGAGCTCCACAGAGCTGAGTTGATATCTGGGATGTAGAGAAGAAGGGACTCTTTAAAATGACTTCTGTGTTTGCACACACACTGCATTTGGTTACAGTTCTCCCCACTAGCCACAAGGTGGCAGCAATGAGCCAACCCAACAATTCCAATAAAAATGATTCATACAAAGATAAGATTTGGGTTTCCTCCAGTGTGAATTCAAACACTAAGTTTTGTTGTTACAAGATAAAGATTCTGCAGGCAGAAGGCCTCAGTGGCAAACCCTCCCCCCGTTCTAAATGTCTCCTCTGCGTTCAGAGCTCAGAGGTAACAGACTGTGGGTCTTTTCATGAGATTTCGAGACCATCTGAAAAATATAGAATAACACCAGACTTATTCTATAAATGCACAACTATTATAGAACTGTTATTGTTGGAATTGGAAACCAATACAGTCATTGTGTAAGCTCGATCCTGATCTAATGATTTGAGGAGTTTTCAGTCCATTTCTCAGCTGGTTGAAGTCTGATGGAATGTGGTGACGTGAGCAGCGTGCAGATATCCTGATGTCCACTTTGCCCTGTGCCCTAACCTCTAAAAGCTCCTGTGTGCTCTCCAAACAGCAGCTTTAGTGAACAGGCTTCACGTCACAAACACCCCCCCCCCCCCTGGAGCAGGTGAGTGTGCTGAGCCCCGGTCAGAGGACTCTGACGGTTTGCACCGCACCCTTCACCATCAGGAGACCCAACACATAGTGCTGTGGCCTTTCTGATGCCGTGTGTGTGTGTGTGTGTGGTTGCTAAAGTAATCACTACAGAGTCGGCAGCAGTGATTATGTAGATTCAATCTCAGAGCCGTACCTGGAAGGGTTTCTGTTCCTCTCGGGAGCTTCAGGGGCCACAGAGGACCATCCAGGGGCCCCTCTGACTCGCTGTCTGTTACATAAACATGGCTGAGAACCAACAACTTCTTCAATATATGGACAATAACCCAAATATGTGTACTTATCATGGTGGAGCTACAAAAGCCTTTTTACGAAAAGTGTCATAACAGAATTCCCCAACAAATAACATAAATTATTTTTTCAAAAATAGATTTGATTCTCAAGGTTAACTCATTTCAAGGTCTGAAAATGGTCTGATTCATAGCTGTGACAAAGCATAACAGAAGTCAAACATCACAGAAAACATTATTAGATTAGTGGTTATTTACGTACTGATTACTGCTAAAGGGCACAATGGCAGAAAGTACAAGTTACGCTGTTGGAATGTCCTGTTGGGTTACCCAGAGCACCACTGTGTTCAGCTAGATGCAACTACGCTTGATCATTCATATAGACATAGCAATCTCATGTTGGTGGAAAGCTTCAAATGAGTATAGCTCCATCCACAGCAGCCACTAACTCAACATCGCCAACATCTGGATTTGTACATTCGGCTGCGTCTGTGCTTTGAACCATCAGCAACGTCTTCCATTCATAATGCCTATTCCTACATTAGTAAGTGAGGCAAAAGTCATGTCATCTGTAACGTCTACAGTGTATCGTAAAGACACTTAGTGCTAAAACATGTCTACATATATAAGGTGTTCAGACTGTCACATGACCAAATAACAGTAACTGAGATGATTGGTCTTATCAAAAATCCTGATGGAGTTGGACCACTAATACGAGGTATGCTGAGCCCCTCTGAAGTCACAGTACGTCACTCTGCATAATGTGAATGCAGAAAGTATCATCTTAGCTTTAGACTTGATAGTTATGTGGATTGAGTTTTATCAAACTATATTTATGTAACATTCAATAGTTATACAAGAGACATCCTTTTGTTCCTTCTGTTCTGAGGCGCAGCTGTACAGTAGCTGTTGAACTGGTGTGTGTGAGGTGTGGAGTGTGAGGAGGAGGAAGAGGACGGTGTGTTGATGACCTGATGACTCAGAGCTGTGACACTTTCTATCTGTTCAAGCTGAACTCACTACATGTATTACTATCACTGAGATCCCATGTGGTGCAGTCTCATATTCACTCAGTCACACAGCCCACATACACACCTGAGAGCTCATGATGGTTTGAATGACTCAAACACGTTATAATTCAGATCACACACCCTTTTCCATTAAACACACCACCCTCCTGTACAGTGTGAGTGTGTGCTTGTTCTGATGCACACGGTTTCTTGTTTCAAAGCAAAGTTGTTTTAGTAACTCTGGTTTAATAGCTTTCCACTTCAGCCCTGAAGGCAATAAACACTCCAACATGGTGTCGATGTTTGTGATATCCACTGGACTGAAATGACATGATTTCCAGGGAATGCCACTGAGCACGTCCTGTCCACGTGTGAACCCTTCTCCACGAGCTGGCCTCATATGCTCAGTTTACAAGCTAATACAATCTAATACATTTCACAGCCAAAGGGTTGCTTTAAGACCATATGTTACTTCATCATAAATATTTATTGTAACAGATAATACCTACTTGTTTAAAGGGTGGGGCGCCACATGGGGACACATGCTATCCAGATTGGAATCCAGGATTTTAATAATAGGAGAAAGATTAATATAATTTATTCTTCATTTATTTGTAAGTCAAAATGTAACAATTCTTTGTAAATGTAGCATCCGTCAAATAATGTAAGCCATGGCTCCTGACACTCCTCCATGATCGCTGAAAGAGTGATACTCATGTTTTGTTGATCATTAAGGAAATATAATTGTATATATTGTAAGCAATATGACTGCAGATGTAGTCTGAATAGATAGAACGGTACAGTATGCCTCGTTTCAACTTTTTAGAAGAATCCTCGGTCAGAAAGCCAGGCAGGGTTCACATTGGAGCTGAGAGTTAGCAGCTGGCTTGTTTCGTTTGATGTGTTGAAAACAACTTGGAAGCAACAAGGCACTGATATTCACAGAAGGCGTGTTTTGGGTTCCAACAGAGGTAAATGCAGCACATTCTAGCCCTTAATGAATGTGTCCAAGCATGTGCACGTCTGCATGAATCATACAGTATGTATAAAGCCTACCTGCATCTGTACATGTTTCCTCCTCTCTTCCCAGGATTCCTTGTGTTCCCCCCAACTCATCACGGAGGACGAGGGGCTGAGTCGGCTGGCTCAGACCGTCCAATCACTGGTGGACCTGGCCGACAGCTCCCAGCGGGGCCCCAGGACCCAGACGTAGGGGCCGAGGCTCAACGCAGTGCTGATTCATCAGCATCACACCGGAGATCCATCTCAGGGCCACGCTCCATATTTAACATGTTCAATAGTTACACACACTGTGTCCAATACATGTCAACAATAAAAAGACCTCCAGTATGAAAATGATCCAGAGCCTCTTTTCATCTTTACAAGTGAAGATTGCATTACACAAGCTGACAGATGTTTTCAAATCAATATCAGCACCTCTAGCCTAGCTCAGCACAAAGACTCGAATCAGGGAAACGGTCCAGTTTCCAAATATACCGAGCAACTAAAGCTATCGGATTAACACGATTATGGTTTATTCTGTACAAAAACAGAAATGTTAAAATAATTGACTTCCAAGCAACCATTCATTGTAGCGTGTAGATCTCTGGTTCAACACATCAGTGAGCTTTAGACCGGTTGGTAGTTGTTGGTAGAACTCGAACGAAGCCATGCTAGCCGTTTCTTCATGCAAAGTTCCCATTACCAGCTTTTTACTTACAATACAGAAAATTGAATAACGTCTTATAAAAAGTTTCTCCAAAGACAAACTATGTTCGAAGTGTGAACCGTTTCCCTCAGGTGAAGTCACTCTGCTTCAGTTGGACAAGTTGAATACTTGTGTAGCTCCTCTTCTCTCCTGCAGGTTAGAGGCTCCACATTAGCAGCTCATAGCATAACACCATCTCAACCAAACTGCAGCTGGTCAAATTGTATGCTGGGTAATGTAGGAGATAGGTTGAGTTCATAATTGGAATGAAATCAGATTACTTATCTTAATTAATAAGTATACAAGTGCTCAAACCTTATGCAATAAACTGCTTTCTGATTGTTTCCCTTTAATCCTTGATAAAGTAGAATTACAGACACAAAAAGAATGAGGGGAAATCAGGTAGAAATGTCTCTGTACTACTTTTAGTGGAATAACAACAGCTATCAGCAGCAGCAACAAAGCCAAATGACATGGTGGGATTTTAAAATACAGATTTGATTGGAGAAATCAGCTTGTTGTTCGCTGCTGTCAGAGAAGAGACCTAAATATACAGGCTGGTGAATGCTGCAGCACACTGTGTGTGTCCTGCTGTACACACACACACACACACACACACACACACACACACACACACACACACACACACACACACACACACACACACACACACACACACACACACACACACACACACACACACACACACACACACACACACACACACACACACACACACACACACACACACACACACACACACACACACACACACACACAGCGTGCGTCGGTGTCTGATAGAAGCCACTTACCTCACCTCTGACTCATCCGTCCAACAGGAGTTAACAGGTCTGTTGCAAGGCTGCTGCAAGTGTTACACACCGTTAGGATGGGTGAAAAACAAGATATTTTATTTCTTTCTTTTCATTGAATGCACCACATGAAGCAGGCTGTGCGAGTCTCTTGAGTTTCATTCCCATTTCAACATTTTGTCTAACACAACTTGTCCTCCCAGCTGCCTCTCAAACGCTGTATTCACCCACATTTGAATAATCAATTCCCAGAATCAACAAATATCTTCTGAAATATTCTTTGATTTATATATCACTCATCAAAAGCACATTCATCATTTCAGGAAAAAGCTCCACCATAATCTGTGTTCATAACATGTCCCAGCCACAGCCGGACCACACTATCTCTGACACACATCTAGATTATTCTTCCAACAATATCTTTCTGTCTCCCAATGTGGCCCCTCACCACAAAGGACCCATTGAACCAATAGCAAGTATCTACAAGAAAGCTGATAAGATCCACGGCAACCGCCCCCCCCCTTGGACCCACCACTGCACTCACATTCTGCTCCCTCATTCTTCAGGACAACAACAATAATGTAGCTGTGATACTTTATTACTTTTAGACCCAGAACAATTCTGCTCTCTCCACGTCAGCCCTCTCATCAGTGATGTCTGTGTACATTGAGTTTGGTTGTTGTCTTGTTTCTGTTTGTATTTAAAGTAATGGCATTATGTTTGTTTAATGTGCAGCAGACAGGGACCTACTGTTACACATGTAATGTTACTTTTAATCTCTTCCTATCCAGCATACAGATTGATACAGAGAAGAAGAGAGCTGCCTTCACTTCAATAATCAGCTCTGGTTTTAATCACGAGTCAATTAGCAGCGTGGCCTGATTGCCTATCATCTTAATATCTGTACGAGGACCGTCTGCTAGCGGCTCATCTTCTCACTTCTTGATAAGACACACACCTAATGAACACACACACACTTGTGTATGGAAATGTCGTCGGTCAGATTCCCGTCACGTCGGAGCCGTTGCCCCCGCGAGCCCCACGCTAACCGCCTGAAGAGTCAGCCTGACATTTATGGGCTGTAATTGAGGATGGGTATGAACCCCCACGCAGACAGAGATGGATAGCAGGAGGAAGCAGACCGAGCTGAGACGAGGCTGAGGGGGGGGGGACGACTGTTAAATTGGGAAGTGTTTTTGCTTTGTAGCCGCTGGGCTCCTGAGTCAGTGGGCTGTGACTCACGGGGGGCCCCTGCTCACATCTGTGACCGCCTGCAGCTGGAGATCTGATGATCAGCTGCCGGACTGTGTTCAACTGTAAACCTTTATTAACAATGGTGTTAGGGTGATATAAAAAGGGTTCATATTTAGCCAATCACTTTATAAAAAAATATATATTTGGGGCTCACCTGGTAGAGCAGGGGCCCTTGTACTAAGGCTGGTTCCTTAACAGGGGCCTTATCTGTCTTATTCCCTTTTCTTTTAGATAGTGTAGCTGAAGATACACGGAAAGGGCCCCCCCCCTTTCCGTCTATCTTCAGCTACACTATCTAAAAGAAAAGGGAAAAGCCCTACTATTTCAATTTAGTTTTCAACACGGATACAATGAAAAAATAATGAACCAATTATTCTGAAATAATATTTTAATTGAAAACCATGAAGGAAGAAAAAACAGAACATGTTTTTAGAATTAGCTTGAAAATATTACAGGCAGCTTGGAAACGCCAAATATCTAAGACACCCTGGATGTTTTTCACACTAGTTGAGCATTGACCTTCAACACGATGATTTATATATACATTATAGGGGTGATCAAATTAAATAAATATGAGCCTTTAAGAAATATTATAACAAATACAAAAATGGGGAAAATTGAAATGAAGGAACAGTGTCAAAACAAACATTGCAGCAAATGGTTTCAGTTCTTTAATGCAAGCAGGAAAACATGCTGTGGCTCCAATTCACAGCAAACTAGCATTATCATTCAGGTTCAATCAACAACAACAAACTAACAGAAGTATAAAACAAGTGCTCAATACTGATATTTGTTCTCATTTGTGTTCTTCATTCAATTTCAGGTTGTAGAGAAACAAGTTGGCACTCTTCACTTCTTCTCATAAAAGTATGTGAAGCCTGATTTGTAAAAACTTCTATCGGCTGAAAAGGCTGTCCACATTTCTAGGTCAATGCTGACTGTGCTGCTCAGAATGAGCTTGCTGTACCTGTGGGTGGCTGACTGCCACCGGCTGCAGATCAAGGCATTAGATAAGGAGAGCAGTAGATTAGATTTAGTAGACCTGAAGCCCTCTGTAGCGATGAGCAGGCTCAGTGTGTGTGTGTGTGTGTGTGTGTGTGTGTGTGTGTGTGTGTGTGTGTGTGTGTGTGTGTGTGTGTGTGTGTGTGTGTGTGTGAGCTACAGCACTGAGGATTTCCTATTAGTCAGACAGGAAAGGTTTATCAGCACCATTATTGCGTCAAAAACATCATGTATGAATCCCATTATCCTAAATTCAAATTGGATTGGGGAACAATCTGATCTGTGTATTCTAATGCTGGTATTGTGTGCTTCCAAGCAACCCTTAATTACAAATCTCAGTGACATCCAGAAACAGCCTGCGACTTCAAATTCACTCGTCCTCTTCTCTGCATTATTTCCTAATCAGTTTTGTCACAGCGACACGTCATCTGCAGACATCACTCTGTGTCCCTGCTGTGAGGGGTTTCTGTGTCTGCAGCTCACCATCCATGCGTAGGGTGTCTGGGTGTCACCCGGGGAAGGATGGGGGGGTATGGGTGACTCCTGAAGTTAGGCCTGCCCCTCCTCATACAGTGATCATCTTGTCTGGAAGGAGAAAGGAACTTCAAACCTCCACCTGGACACAAAGACCACAATCATTATGTTTCTGGAGCATTTGCATTCATGAGATAATGACCAGCTTTCAGTTGATGTTATTACTTCCATAGCATCCTCTCTACAAGGGTGTGGATCTCTGCCCATAGGACACATTAAACAAGAATCTTGATTGGAATCATTGTGTGAATGTATGATGCACCGCTTAAAAAGTCATACAATTCAAATTCAAAAATATCTTTTTCTAAAGCTGCACCAACGTCTTATTGCCGATTTAGATGAGTTCATTTGGGGAGTTGGCCATTAACTCCCAGTCACATCAAACCTGTACATCATGTCATTGGAACATTGGAAGAAATCTCTTTCCAATCGTAGACTAAGTATTGAAAACTGTTGGGTGAACAAGTCAATGTTTCCCTATAGTCAAATTCCTAAAATGTATAACATGTATCCTCATTATGTGGCCTGGCCTCTCCACACACACCAAGGAGATAGATCGTTTTTTTCCAACAATTCCATTTTTTCAAACCTAAAATAATACAGGAGAAAATCTAATGTACGTATGTGTGTTGTAAAAGTATAACATAAAACAGGAAAACGAATGGCATCATAATAAGATTATTGGACAGTTTAACAGTGAAGAGATGGACAGGAAACTCTGATTCCAGGGAACTCAATCTGAGGAGCCTGCCTCATCTGGAAATAACCGTATATGGCATGGCTGGCTAAGACATGTAGTAACTCAGAACCAAGTTAAATCACTCTGTTCAAACACCAAATACCAACATTCATGAGTGAAGGTTTTCGAAGTTCTGCCTAATCCATATATTGTCACATTTCTTGGAGTTGCTTATTGAAGAGATGGGGTACAGGGAAATAAACAAAGGTCTGTTTTGGAACATTACATGGAGCTTTAATATATATTTTTTTATTTCCATAACATTTTCTATGTTAACTGTTGTTACAGAGTTACTGACTCTGATGGTATGTGTTATAGAAGTGAGTTTAGTTTGCAAAGCAAATGTATTTACTGAGCACATGAATGAGGAGGGCCTTGCTGGATAATGCAAAAGTCTCTGTGCCACATCCTCACAGTGCCTCAGTAATACTACAGCTGACACCGTAACAATAACAGAGAGAAAGCATCATACCTGCACTTAACATGGAGTCGTCCTGTGACCAGGGGGCTCTGGCCTGGGGATGAACTCGCTGTGAAAGCCACGGGTTTGCAGGGGGCAATGGGTTATAATCTGTCAGCAGAAACAGAAGGCAGTGTCATAACACCAACAAGCCTGGGAAGTGTTGCTGACTGTGTGCTGTACCTACACTGACTGTAGCATCCAGCAGCAGGAAAACCTCGGCTAGGATGAGCATGATGCTGCACAGGAAGTAGAGAGGGAGAGCAGCTGACTCCAGCAGCAGCTGAGCTCTGCTGAGCGTAGAGGAGACGCTGCACAGGAAGTAGAGAGGGAGAGCAGCTGACTCCAGCAGCAGCTGAGCTCTGCTGAGCGTAGAGGAGACGCTGCACAGGAAGTAGAGAGGGAGAGCAGCTGACTCCAGCAGCAGCTGAGTTCTGCTGAGCGTAGAGACGACGCTGCACAGGAAGTAGAGAGGGAGAGCAGCTGACTCCAGCAGCAGCTGAGTTCTGCTGAGCGTAGAGGAGACGCTGCACAGGAAGTAGAGAGGGAGAGCAGCTGACTCCAGCAGCAGCTGAGTTCTGCTGAGCGTAGAGGAGACGCTGCACAGGAAGTAGAGAGGGAGAGCAGCTGACTCCAGCAGCAGCTGAGTTCTGCTGAGCGTAGAGACGACGCTGCACTGGGTAATGCAGGGGTGGACCTACACAACACACAGAGGCACAGGAGAACAAGGTTAGGGTTGTCTTACCAGTATCAGTATACTGTACATGCAAAAATAAAACTTAGTATAGTATGTGCAAAATATGCAAAAATCAACAGTTTGGAGTGTCAAACATTTCAGACAAAAAAAACATAGTGTTGTATGTCGAAAATGTGGAAAAAACTGCATAATATAGTATGTTGGCAATATGCAAGAAACCGAAACATTAGGTCAAAAGTATGCAACAAAAAGGATTGTATAGGATGTCAAAAACAGGCACAAAAAAATATATATAGTATAGTATTTTATAAATATGCAATAAAACAGAGTATTTTGGAAATGAGCCCAAAACGACAATGTCAACAATATGCACAAAAAAACCAAACAAAGTATGTTGAAAATATCAGGAAAAAATGTATATTATATTATGTGGAAATGATGACAGTACAGTATATCGAAAGAATCTGAAAAAAAGCAGAACACAACAACATAGAAATGGTATGTTGAAATAAATGACACCATGTAATACGTCAGAATAATATCACTTACATAGTAAAGCATTTAGAAAAGAACACAAAAAACGACAGTAGTATGTGGAAAATATCAGGAAAAAAAATCATGTCCAAAAATGACATGATATATATATATATATATATATATCTTAAAAACAGTACATAGTAGGTCACAAAAAACACAAAATATAGTAAGTTGAACAAATTAACAGTAGTACAGGATATCTAAAAGCAGGGATGCAAACTCATCAGGTATGAAAAGGTGACAAGGACTGGATCTCGCTGTGCTAGAGGGGAAACACCAACAGCCCTGCTCCGACAGTGAGGGACTGACGGAGGAAACATCCTCCCAGCAACAATGATTTAGTATCCGTTACTTAAAGATTCAATTGTGACATGCTGCTGCATTAGAAAAGCAGCAGTATAAGTTATGAAAAGAATGGTGATGTCAAAATATATTGAACTAATAAGGGTGAAAATGAAAGGGCAGTTGAACCTGTCTCCTCTCTATTCTGAAATGCAATCTTTAAGAACAAGAGCAAACAACAGCCAGAACATGAGCAGGTCTATTATTGCCTGGTGTACTGTGATGAAAGGCGCTTAGAACTCTCAAAATACCTTTTATTAGCTATTGTGAATGGGCCGACAGGTGAAGGCAGTGAATGAGGGCTGATTACTGTATGATGCAATCAATGGACCCTGACGAGGGGGCAGACACTTCTGATTGCCAAGTAGAGCTATAGAAAAGGAAAACAGCAGACTTTTATAGGAAGCAGTATTGCCTTCCTCAGGTGGCTTGCTGATAAAAAATGCCTCCTATTTAAAAAACATTTCACAATTGTTTGGAGATAATGAAAATGCACTGTACTTCAGCTTCTCTGAGCAATTATGTAAAAATGTAATCCACATGAAATTCAACTGTCATGGAGAATGCCATCTGGAGACATTCAAGCATTCATGTTCAAAACAAATCAGCTGTTTAATTATCATCAATCACAGAGGGGCAGAGCAGAGAGGAGCCTTCCATCTCCACTGAAGCCACACACACACACACACACACACACACACACACACACACACACACACACACACACACACACACACACACACACACACACACACACACACACACACACACACACACACACACACACACACACACACACACACACACACACACACACACACACACACACACACACACACACACACACACACACACACACACACACACACACACACACACACACACACACACACACACACACACACACACACACACACACACACCTGTAGGAACATTTTTTGTGAACTTTGACGCTGCTGTTTTTTTTATTTATTTACGTAAACGCTTATGCCGTGAACAGCTACGAGTGATGCTGGCCGGCTAGTCCTCGAAATGTCCGCTCAGGGCAAAAAAAGAAAGATCGATACTGAATGCCGTGTTTTCAACAAGACATGGACCGCTAAGTATTTATTTACAGAAGTGAAAGGTAAAGCTGTGTGTTTAGTTTGTGGTGCGCAGGTCGCTGTGTTCAAGGAGTACAATTTGAGTCGCCACTATGCTACCAAACACGCAGATAAATACAAGAACCTGTCTGAGGAAGAGCGGGCAAAGGGGTCGGATGCTTTGCTAGCTAAGCTGCAAAGCCAACAACACATTTTCACAAAACATTCCACATCCAGAGATGCAGCTGTCAAGACGAGTTATGTCTTAAAAGTAAACCGTTTTCGGACGGAGAGTTCATTAAGGAGTGTTTGTTGGACTCTGCCGCACTAATATGCCCCGAGAAAAAGGAGGCATTTGAGAAAGTGCCGCTCTCCCGACGCACTGTTACGGGCCGTCTCCACAGCAGCGTTAACAAATCTTGAAACTCTTCTGCCCATTCACTTTGAATGGGGTGACGTCACTTTCCCTCACTTTTCGCCGAAATGCATTGTGGGCAGGCGAGCGGAGATTCTCAGGATTTTGAGGATTTTGAGGATTCAAAGTTGAACAATGTTCAACTTTTGAAGCTGAGGTGGAAGCGGCAGCCAATCAAATCCCGTGTACGCAAATCTGGCAGTTCAAGCTCTAGCCAATCAAACGGCGTGTATGCTGGGTCATTTCCTCATATTCCAAAAAATGGAGGAGAAATTAGCGGTAGCGAATCAATCACCCGGTGCTTTATGACCAGACCTACCGGGATATAAACCGGAGGAGCCAGGCATGGAGGGAGGTGGCAGAGACAGTGGTATGTTTTCGCCTGTTTTGGGGAGTTTATATCCAGTTTACTTCGGGCTTTTTGGCTTCGTATGTCGCGGGCGGGAGATTCATGTGATTGGTTGATCGCAAAAAAATCCCCAAGCCTCAGATACGCCCACCTCCAAGATTTTTTTAACGCTGCTGTGGAGACGGTCCGTTACGAGGAGGATTGAGGACATCGCGGGAAATCTGGAGCTTCAGCTGCAGAACAGAGCGGTCAACTTTGACTTTTTTTCCTTGGCTTTGGATGAGAGCTGCGATGTACGTGACACTGCCCAGCTACTCATCTTCCTACGTGGGACAACTACAGACTTCAAAATCACGGAGGAGCTGGCAGCCATGCAGTCAATGAAAGGTACAACAACAGGGAGTGATTTGTTCACGGAGGTAAATGCATGTGTGGAAAAGTTGGGACTGAAATGGGACAAGCTGGCAGGCGTGACAACGGATGGTTGTCCAAATCTGACAGGGAAAAATGTTGGACTATTGAAGAGAATGCAGGATAAAGTGACAGAAATGAACCCTGAGCAGAAATTGGTATTTTTGCATTGTATTATTATTATTATTATTATAAATTAACCATGTTGTTGATGTTGTAACTAAAATAGTTAACTTCATCAGGGCAAGAGCATTGAATCACAGACAGTTTGTTGCACTTTTGGAGGAAAGTGAGACTGAACATCGTGACATACCCTACCATGCAGCTGTCAGGTGGCTCAGCCTGGGCAAAGTGCTGAAAAGAGTATGGGACCTGAGAGAAGAGATTCAAGACTTCTGTGTGAAGAAAGGAAACGACATCCCACAGCTTTCAGATGCAGACTGGATGGCAGACCTTGGTTTTGCTGTAGATGTGACTGCACTAATGAGTGAACTAAATGTCAAACTGCAAGGCAAGGGCCTTGTTGTGCATGACATGTACAGTGCAGTGAAGGCTTTCATGAGAAAGCTGCAGCTTCTCTCAAGCCAAATGGAGGACAACATTCTCACGCACTTGCCAACACTGAAGGAAGCCACACCATCAGCTGATCACCTCCAGAGGTACTCATCCATGTTAGAAGCACTGCATGGTGAGTTTTCAAGGCGATTTAAAGACTTCAAAACAGTTGAGAATAAATGAACATGATCTTTTCCCCATTTACATGCCATGTGGATGATGCACCCAGTGATGTTCAGCTTGAACTCATTGACCTGCAGTCTGACACACTTCTGTCAGAGCACTTTAGGTCAGTCTCACTGCCTGAGTTTTACTCTTCCCTGAAAGAGGAGAACTTTCCACACATCAGGAGACGTGCTCAGAAGATGATGGTCCTCTTTGGATCTACCTACATATGTGAACAGACATTCTCAGTGATGAAGTTCAACAAATCCAGATACAGATCCTCTATCACTGATGATCACCTCTCAGCTGTCCTTCGCATATCCACCTCAGACATTGAACCAGATTTCCGTGCACTTGTTCAAGCCCAAGACAGACTGGATTTTTCTCACTGAACAAGTCAAATGAACTGAAAAACAAAAATCAAAAGCACTCATTTCTTTTTGTATAAAGCTGATTCATTTCTTATCTTTAACATACTGTAAAACACCTTTTCAGTATTGGTATATTGAGCAGAATTAAGTTCAACTTATTTTTGATTCGGCCCCCCAACACAGCTCGAGTTTCTGAAGTGGCCCCTTGTAAAAAATAATTGCCCACCCCTGCTCTAAAGAGTGCTTGTCCATACTGCTGGGGTCTGTTTTCCTTCCATTTCTATCTTCATCAGTAGATAAAGGTTAACCCAGTTAATCTGCGTTTGGTTATCAGATGGATTTGATCAGAATGACTGTAGGGCGATATGGAGATGACTTAACCAGCTGCTAAATTAACATCAGCACATTAATGCATCACTACTTATAATCCAGTAATATAATATGTATTCATCGGAAAATGGCCACTTTTAGGTCTGGTACTTTTGTACTCGTATCATTAAGTATCATTTTAAATGTAGGACTTTTACCTGTAACACAGTATTTCTACACTGTGGTATTATAGACGTTATAATACCACTTCTCTCTAGCCTTCTTGCGCTTAGTGACTACGATACGATACGATACGATATACTTTATTGTCCCCGTAAGGAAATTTGTTCTGGACTCCGTCCTGCAGTTCCGCATACATGTACATATCATATACAAACATAGTGGACATTAAGAGACATACACATATCATCAGTCATACACCGTTTGAACAAACACAATACACA